ACCCTTAATGACATCACCGTAGTGTAACTGTCTGAACAAACCCTCGACGCACATCCTCACAACGTGATCGATCCATCGCAGTAGCTCCCTGTCATTTTACCTTCCGTACCTTTTGAAGTCAACCGGAACAGAAATGGCCAATTTCCTTGCTTAGCCCTAAACAGTCCATGATCCTGCACCCTACAACAAAGCTGCTCAGCAGCAGTCCTGTACATCCGGGACTTTGTATATATGTATATGTATATATTGAAGGGATACAGGCAGAGCCCTTGATGACCCTATTTATGTACAGTGCTTTCACAGATTCATGCTCAAAAATAAAATAAAATTTCGGGAATTTAAAATGCGATTGGGTCACAGTTCAATCGTAATCATAGGGTAATGCATAGGGTCACTGTAAATTAGTGCGGAAGATTGTATATGACAGGTTTTGCAAAACTGGCTGTGCATAGTCATGCTGCACAAGCCGATTTCTGTCGAAAATTAGACGAGCAAGTTTAATTTTAACACACAAACTGTGTCAGCCGTCACCATCTCGCTTGGAAGCAAGTTCCACGGCCTGACAACCCGCTGGCTGAATGAAAATTTTCGTCGGTCTAAACGCATGCGCTCATTCCCGACTTTGTATGCATGGCCGCGTAGTTAGTTTGTACGGGCGAACTCAAAGAAGTCCTTTGCTCTTAATGAGCAACCCTGTGTTGAATAGGATGCAGCGGTGGTTCCAGCGGAGTGCTTTAGCCGGCCGAAGGACTGATTGGCTTTGGAATTCCGACTTGCGATTTCGTCGCCGCTCTTGATATTTCTTGAAATTGTACTTCAGAGGCACAAGAGCTTCTCTGCCGCTATGTGATTAATCCCACTGATGCTTATACGGACTTCGTTGTAGTCAGCATTTCACACCGGTTTTTACGTGACCCTTGATTTGTCCATGCTGAGGGTCAGAGCGAAGTTGGAGCAACCGGAAGCAAAGAGTTTCGTATTCTGATGAACGTCTTTTCCGTTGTGGTGTCTTGTGCACAGTTATTTGAAAACAAAATGTAGTGGGCACTCGCCCTGGGGACCCCTAATCCTGCCTGAATGTTGAGCAGCTTTACGTCACTTCGGGGCCAATTTTGGTTCCGGCAGCTGCGCACGGCAAGCGTCTGTTAACATGGCGAAAAAAATGAGACTGAATAGAAGGAGAGCAAGTACACAATCATGATCCATAAACTTGGTCCCAACTTAAGTTTTAGGGACTATCTCGTTGCCCACGACCCGCGTCATCATCCTGTCATGTTGTTGTCTTATCATTTGAGTAAACCGCTCGGGAAATTGGAATTTCAGGATGCTTCTCCAAAGTCAATACCGATTCACTATGTCAAATACCTTCAGTAAATCGACAAAGGTTATGTAGAGGCTGCCTACAGTTTCGTACCGTTTCTCCTGTAGTTGACGGACAGAGAAAACCCTACCGATGAACACCAGGTTCCATTGGAACCGCATTTACTTTTTGGAGAAGTCCTTGTTTCAGGCGACTGAGTAGGACATGGGCAAAAACTTTACCGGCAATATTAAGGGGTAGGCCGCCGTGCTGTCATTCTCAGTGCGTTGGGAATCTAGCTCGCGACTAATGCTCTTACTGGCCTTAAATAGTTTGCTTTATAAAAGTCATGCCTTTTATCCATTTCCAATTTGACTTTCTCAGGGAAACGTCCACCTCATGAAATTCTTAATCGCAGTGGGGATTTTTAACAGAAACCTCGATCAGGACGACGATTTTGAGGCCGTTCCCATTGACTTTTAGAAGGTTATAGACACGGTTAATTGTCACTTGTGAAAGTGATCTTAAGAAGGTCTGTTGGACACCTTTTGGTTCTAAGTATAGTGTTCGATTCGTGCATACTTCTTAAGAGATAAGGATGCTAGCTATTCAAACGCTTGCATATGCTCTACATCCTCTTCCGTATTAACCAAGCTTGACCAAACTTTCCGTCCCCTTACGTTTAGTTTTAGTGGGCTGCTTTCTGACTGAGCGCATAGCTCATTTGATGGGATTATTTACGCCAGTGCAGGGGTTCTTGCGTTTGGCGCGTAGAAACTTTTTCTCTGTTGCCGTTCCTTGTACATTGGGATATCTGGTTTATAAGGACATATCAACGACACGACAGGAAAAGGTTTAGGTTTTCCATACTGCCTATTTTGCTTTAGGCAGAACGACAGCTGTCAGACAATGCACTTTCCTAAATGGGTCTTGCTAAGATGGAGGGATGGGCTGGTTTCCTTCGTGGCTGGAACATCGGCGGCCTACGCTGTGTTTTACGCCGCTTCCAATTATAAGTCCTTCGCGGTGCCCACTTACAAAGGGAAAAGTGCACTCTACGGAAATCGGAAATTGCCCGAGTCTGCGGATCCATGGAAATATTAGCTCTCAATGACTATAGACTTTTTAGATCTAAATAAACACATCCTTTCAAATAATGTTTTTCTGTAGCCAGTGTGATGCTTGGTTCTCTCTAAAGTGTCGTTTTTAGATGGCGGATTCCAAGACGAAGCGTTCCGGCCTAGCGGATGACCTAAAAAACATTGAATTTGAGACTTCGGAAGATGTAGAGGTTCTGCCTACATTTGATACGATGAACCTCAGGGAGGAGTTGCTGCGTGGGATTTACGCTTATGGTAGGTATAAAAAGTATTGTTTACCTCGTAGGTTTCGAACGTCCATCTGCCATTCAACAACGAGCTATCAAACAGATCGTACTCGGTCGCGATGTCATTGCCCAGTATGTCCCTTTTGTTATTAATACCTACTAGAGCTCAGTCAGGCACAGGAAAGACGGCTACCTTGGCCATCGCTGCTCTGCAGATGTTGGATACTCAACTGCGTGACACACAAACGCTGATACTGTCGCCGACTCGTGAGTTGGCCTTGCAGATCCAGAAGGTTATTCTCGTGCTTGGTGACTACATGAACGTGCAGTGCCATGCATGCTATGGGGGTACGAACATCGGTGAAGATATTCGAAAGTTGGACTACGGGCAGCACATTGTTTCCGGTACGCCTGGTCGTGTTTTCGGTAAGTCGAGCATAAAGTCGTCCCCTCTTATGAATTCCTTCGTAATAAATTTGGAACGTTCTGTTCTCGTGTCATCCTTCCTCTATGTCTCATGCTTAGTTTCCGCATTTTCGCTATCTAGATCGTGTTTCCCTGCATGGGACCCTTATTTGCCAGTGCTAGGTTGAACTTCTTTTATTTTCCTCCCTTTCGTAAATCCCAGTAATACACTACAACTCACCTCTGACTGATTTCGTGTCATATTAAAAGCGTGAACCTGGCACTTTTAATGGCTCACACTCCACCCACTGGCCTTGACACTATGACAAGCATCCACGAATCCATTTACAATCCTTTCCACTACTCCCAACCCCGACTGCAGGATTTGTGTTGTATCCCGTTAAAAACCATTTGCCCGATGAGCGGCCGTCTTCTACACCCATTACATTAAAATGTTGTCCTTTTTATGATCAGACATGATAAAACGACGGAACCTGCGCACAAGAACCATCAAGCTGCTAATTCTCGATGAGGCTGATGAAATGCTGGACAAGGGCTTCAAAGAACAGATTTACGATGTTTACCGTTATCTCCCTCCGGGCACCCAAGTCGTTCTTCTATCAGCGACTATGCCACATGAGATACTGGAACTAACTTCAAAGTTTATGACTGATCCTGTCCGGATCCTTGTCAAACGGTGCGTACATACCTAAGAATTTTTAGCCTTCTGTTTAATGAACAATAGTAAACTATCGGTTGAAAAGGACGACCTACTTTACACCCAGTCTGTCCACATGATTTTTACCGAGACAAGTGAGGCATTCCCACAACAGTATGCAGTCGTCAGCACGCGGTAATGTTGAACACCTGCGACGCGCAGGTCCTGTCGTACGGTTTTGCTTTGCCTTGCTAGTGACGCAGATCAAATCAGATGAATGTAGTCGTTTTTCAACGTAAACCTGTGATTACTCGTAGTTACGGTAATAGCGTTGGTGGTAATTGTTGTTCAACAGCAGCCGGGAAACTGACACCTAGGGAACAAACCCGCCACAAGGCTTATTTATTAGCGCAATATGCCATAGTCCGAAGTTCATCGTGTCCTATGTGGATTTAGTTGTTCGCCCTGTTCTTATATCGGGGGAGTTCAACTTGATTTTCGTAATTAGTTTCTTGTTTACTTTGCTTACCAACCGGCTCCACTCTTCAGTGTAATCGCACTGCAGATAATATCATTTCAGTGCACTTTGTGACAGACTCCGTCGTGAAGTTAGAACAGTTGACATAATTCGCAAACCATTGACCGCTGTGCCAGAGGTGCAACTGGGTCTTCATCCACAAACCGTGCATCCTTCCAATGGCTATGTTGACGCCGCCGCCAAGAATTGTCCGACTAGGACGAGATGTCGCCAACTTTGTTTCCAGGTCAGCGCACAACGCACGACCAAAAAATCCGAGTTGGGAATTAAAGGGTGTACATCTGCCTGATATTTCTCACGCGCCAATTTAGAGGTCAAATTTTGGGAATCTGGAAGCTCATGTGTACGCACCATACACAGCATCTGCGTAGGATTACCTCTATAGAAGCCTTTTAAGCTCAACCTGGTCTTATGGCTAACCTCACCGATTCCAGGGATTTTAGTGACGTCATACCGGGGCCACACATCGCCTTTTGACCTGATAATTCACTTCATCTTTGCCCTTTCCGCGCAAAAGAAAGTTGGCATAATCTAGAAGTTCACGATGAACTCGAGTTTCATTCTGCAACCCCGGCGTGTATTTCCGCACCACGACACGCCCTAGAGTTCTGCCATGTCTACTAGCGTGCGATGGTCATTTAATTTCGTTACAGCGATGGCTTTTCACTGCCTTTCTCGCGAGTTAAACGATTTGCCAACAGTAAGTATCGTGCTTGAACTTTCGCTTTACCAGTGGTCGTATTGTCCGTCAACCTCCATACCCAGACGTTCAAAGATACTACATACGGTCACCCATCTTACTTTTTTACGTATGTGGGACACGACCTTCCACACCGCAACGTTACTGACACGAAGTCGGTAGTGCATAAGCCACAACGTACTGTGCTGTCTCAGTTGTTTGCAGCTGTCTGCAAGTAATTTAAGGCATAGGACAGTCCCAGGTGTGACATGAGATAATTTTTTTCTCAGCAATTCACCGGATTTCGATTATAATTTCGTGATTGGCCCGTGAGAGATTCCTCGGTTCAGGTGACATGTTTCCGCCTCCATAGCTAACTAGAGCGAAAAAAGCAAGCCCTGGGACGGTAGGGCCCTAGTCGACTGTGACTGTTTTAGAGACATTTGTCAGCGTTTACAGCAATTTTTTGATGATGCACGGCCATCATGTCCCGACACTGGCACTAGAGGACCCATGGATGACACTCCTACTGCTACTACCACCACCACCGCTACTACTACTTTAACCTTTTACTGTCTACGCATGCTTGCATATGCCTATAGTTGGGCCGTCGATTCACTATCTTATACTCGCAATAACGTACGCCTTTGTGTCAAACGGCCTGCTTTCCACACTTCTGTGCATAAGAGGTCTTTAAAACTGGCCTGCCACCCGGTCGCCAGCGCTTCCTCTGCACTGCAAATTGTTGGGGCCAGCCTCAGGTACTAACCGGTTGGCATATCTGCCTGGTCAGTAGGCCTATCGGAAAAAATAGTTCTCACAGCTGCTTCTCCTTAGACGTCCAGTGCCAGTTCCGCGCTCGCTTTCTGTCTCATAACTCAATGGTTCTGCCATCAATAGGTACTCCTTTATCGTGTAAAAAGGGCCTTTCTACCATCCAACTGGAACACAGACTGACTACATTTATTTATTTTGCAGTGATGAGCTTACCCTTGAGGGTATCAAGCAGTTTTTCGTCGCTGTCGAACGCGAGGAATGGAAGTTTGACACCTTGTGCGATTTATACGATACCCTAACGGTTACCCAATCAGTCATCTTCTGCAATACAAAACGCAAGGTCGAGTGGCTTGCCGAGAAAATGCGCAGCAACAACTTCACCGTCGCATATATGCATGGTGACATGGTGCAAAAGGAAAGAGAAGAGATTATGAAAGATTTCCGCAGCTGCGAGAGGTAAGTAAAGAAATTTTAGCGAAGACCGTTGTTTGCCCCTGTCAAAAGCCACTCCATAAAACTACTCGAAATGTTCGCCAAGCCGGCTTCAAACAGAAGTGATGACCTAGAGTTCTTCAAAGAGGGGCGAAAATCAAGAACTAGATTTGACGTTTCAGGTTATCTAAAAATCGTGAGCATTTTTTTTTCAAGCGCTTTGAATCGGGTGGAGCAAGACGGATTTCATGCAAGCTATCCTGACAAGCCTTTATACTGGACCAATTTCTCTACTAGGCGTCCTGTCAAGTGACTGTCTACCCCGGGGTACAGAACTGTTTGGGGAAAAATCTGCTGTAGGCGCCATTTGAATTAACTCTAGACATGTTTACTGCAGCTCTAAAATTAAAACCTCAGCAAAATCCCTGCATTGCTATTTGTCGCCAGCTGGCGTATTCAGACGGCAACGCCGGTAGAGTTGACCTGTTTGGTTATGCGAAGCGTCCCGAAACAAAGGGGGTTTTGGTGGGTTACATCAGAATAACTCGTCATCATCGATGCTACATTGCAGCCATATCTGAGACGAAATCGCCGGTTTCCCGAGTTCTTAAGTTTATAGTCCCTTTACCGCAAGGGCCATCCACACTGAAAACTCGAATCCTGATGTTTCTTAGCCCTTATCCTAAACGTGCGAAGGTGATCTAGCCTCTTTCAGAAAGTTTAGGGCATGCAAAATCAGCATTGGTCATGCGAAAGTCAGATGGAAACCCCCTATTGTTTAGAGAAAAAAGGCGAGACTATATCAGCGGCACAAAACCTATCCTCCCCCCGACATTTCGGATTCAGTCGTTAACCCATCACCACAGATGAAAATAGGTACAAGTGACGGACGCAGTTGTCCGTACCTTCTGTGACGACCACTTGGTTACCCGAATCTAGGCCGTTAATTTTCACAGTACTGGTGATGGGTGTGATCCCCTTAGATATGACTGCGCGCAACTACTTCCTATGCATACTGCACTCGCTATGCGTCCGCTGCCTTTATCCCTTGCTGTCTCGGGTGCTAGTTTTAAGCGAATCCAAAGCATTGATCGAATGAGACCTTTGCTCCAGCGACCGAGTTGCCTGCTGCCCAAGCCGTTGAGAGGCTGCCCTAGGCATAGGAATTAGAGGCACTTTGTACAACTGTTCCCTTTGCGGAGTCTGCAGAGTTCGCAACACTACTAGGTCCTTTCTCTGTCGGTTTGCTTGCCAAATTTACGAAGGCCGACGGAATACCTTAAGAATTAAGACCCCTCGGTTTCCATGCCGTAGACAACATTCGGACGGCTTTATCCAAATTCAATTAGAAGCCCTCAGCTGACAAGCTCATCACCTTGAAACTAGGCTACGGACCCAACAATGCGTGTTACATTCATGACAGGTTCCGGAATTTGCCTCTAACTGCCGATATCGCGTTTACTGGGGTTGGACGTACACCTAGTGCTCAACAGCTAGCACCGGTTTCAAATGGCACAGCAAACCTCTCCCCAGCAGGTGTTTTGGCATAGTGGTTACTTACCGAATTAACTTTGTTTTTTTCAGCCGTGTCCTCATCACAACCGATCTCTGGGCGCGTGGTATTGATGTGCAACATGTGTCTATGGTTATCAACTACGACCTGCCCAATAACCGTGAGTTGTACATCCACCGCATCGGTCGATCTGGTCGATTTGGACGCAAAGGTGTTGCCATAAATTTTGTGAAGAATGAGGACATTCGTATCCTTCGCGATATCGAACAGTACTACTCCACACAGATAGACGAGATGCCAATGAATGTGTCGGATCTCGTGTAATGCCCCTTCACCAGCTTTGTACATACATTCAAAGGACAT